TTCTATGAGGACAGTATTACATTGAAACCAAAGTCAGACAATGATATCATGGGAAAACTACAGACCAATATTCCTTACGATCACAGATGCAAAAATCCTCAAAAAATACTAGGAAGCCAAATGCAGCAGTACAGTCAAATGATTATACTCTACATAATGAAGTGGTATTTACACCAGAAATGCAAAGGTGGTTTAGCATATGTAAGCCAATCTATATAGTACACAACATTAAAAGAATGAAGGTTGAAAGTAAAAAAGATTATCTAATTTGAGGCAGAAAGAGCCTTTTACAAAAATAACAACACTTTTTCACGATAAGAAAACTTCAAAAAACTAGAAACAGAAAAACGTTTCCTCACTCTCATGCAGGACATCTATGAAAAAAATAGATGTAACATCATATTTAACGATGCAAAATCAAAAGCCTTTCCTATAAGATCAGGAACAACATACAAGGAGGTCTGCTGTCATCACATTATCTTATGGCTAGGACTGCAAGTTCTAGCCAGACAATTAGATTTAAAAAAAGAAAGAAAGGAAAGGAGTGGGGAGAAAAGGAAAAGAAGAAAGAAAGAAAGGACACCCAAATTAGAAAGAAGTAAGTAAAACTATCTTTTATTTATAGATATCATAATCTTATATATAGAAAATCATAAAGAATCCACACAAAAAATTATTTGAGCTAATAAATTCAGCAAAGTTGCAGTATACAAGACCAATACACAAAATCAGCTATATTTCCATACACTAGCAATTAAGAACCAAAAAATGAATCTAAAAATAATTTCATTTACAACAGCATTTCAATGGATAGAATAATGAGGAATAAATTCAAACAAGGGACAAAACTTGTACACTGAAAACTATAAAACACTGTTGAAAGAAATTAGAGATTTAAATAAATGGGAAGACATCTCATGTCATGAATTGCAAGACTTAAGACAGCAACTCTCCCCAAATTTGATCTAGTAAATCTAATTGAATCACTACTAAAATTCCAACTGTCTTTTTCAGGCTGGATGGGGTGGGGAAGGCAGTTTGGGGGAGAATGGATACATGTATATGTATGGCTGGGTATCTTCACTGTTCACCTGACCATCACAATATTGTTGATCAGTTCATCAATACAAAATAAAAAGTTTAAAAATTTTTTAAAAATTGAAAAATGATCCTAAAATTCATATGGAATTACATGGCACCCTGAAAAGTCAAATCAATCTTGAGAAAATAAGAAAGTTGGAAGACTCACATTTCTAGATTTCATAATTTACTACAAAGCTACAGTGATCAAAACAGTGTGGCAGTGATATAAAGATGAGTACAAATATCAACGGAATAGAATTGAGATTCCAGCAATAAACTTATTCATCTGTTGTAAAATGATTTTCACTAAGAATACTAAGATTACTAATGGTAGGAAAGAACAGTCTTTTTAATACATGGGGTGTTGGGACAATTGGACATCCATGGAAAAGAATGAAGCTGGATCCTTGCATCACACCATATATAAGAATTAACTCAGTATGGAGCAAAGACCTAAGTGTAAGAGTTAAGACTATAAAACTCTTTGAAGTAAACTTAGGGGGAAATTTTCACAACCTTGGATTTGGCAATGCATTCTTAGATATGAGACCAAACATGATCAACAAAAGAAAAAACCTGGACTTCATCAAAGTTAAAAACTTTTGTTCATCAAAGGACACTGACAAAACAGTAAAAAGACAATAGCAGAATAGGATAAGGGGGTATAGGAGTAACTACTTAATGGTACTGGGTTTCTTTTGGGGATGATAAAAATACTCTGGATTAGATACTTGTGATTGTTGAATAGCATTATAAATATATTGAAAGCCACCAAACTGTACATTTTTTAATGGTTTAAATAGTGATTTATTTTAACTTTCAATAGTTATGGTTTTTCCAAAATACAAAAAGTAGTTCAGAATTCAACTAAACAGAAAAGTGTGTGTATTAAAAAATACACATCATGAAAAGTTGTAATAATTTGTATATCTTTGTCCTAATTTTCTTAACCCCAATAACTTGAAATTAGTCCAAAAAGGTTTCCTAATGAAAAGTTAGCTTCTGGTCTACATTTAAAACAGTCATAAATTAAATAAATTTAAATTCAATTAAAATAAAATTTCTATTTCTTTGAAAAAATATATACTTTTAAATAAAAATGATGGGCCTTCTTTATTTAATACTAGTGTCAGTCCCAAATAGGGTTTTAAAAATCATAAACAGTCAACTGCTGTGCATAATACAGTTTTAGGATTTGAAAAGTTGAATGTATCAAATTTAAAAGTGAACAAATACCATAAAAATAATAGCTTCTCCTAAAAACAATTATGTTTAGTTTAAGTTATTTAAAGCACAAGAAAATAATTTCTACGTGAAATTTTTTTATTTGATTCTTGTGTTAGAAGTTAGTATTAAAATTCAATTCAGCAGGTTAAAAATTATTTTTATTCCAGAAAACTTGGTGCATACCTTGAAAACATATGTGCTTAAAAAATCTGAATAGCTATATTATTTGACTATGTACAGTAAACAGTGCTAAAGAGATTGGATGTAACCACAATCATTTTTACCACACAATGGGATAGCCCAAACCCTCATTCTGTACTACTCTTAGTTTCCCCAAGAAATAAAATGCACTAGACAGTCCACAGTGGCCAGAAAAATAAACCTGCAAGCTCTGGCTTGAAGACAGATGGTCTGCACCTGCCTGAGAACTTCAAAAAGGACCCGCTGGGTCTCCTTCTTATCACCCATTTGTTCTCACCCACACTTTGTAGAAAAGAGAATTAGTCCAATAATCAATTAGCCTTTCCTAAAATTTCATGTCAAGCTTGAAGAGTAATTATAATTTAAAAATCACTATATATACAGAAATTTGCAAAATAACTATTACATCTAAAGGGGGGGAAAGCCATATAGCAAAAGTAAAACTACAGTGGTTGTAGGCCAATTCTACAGACATCTTTCTTTCTATATGTTAAAATCAAAAGAACTGCAAATGAACTCTATGGTTATAACTGTCCTGTTGCAATCAGTCTTTATCATCCTTAAAGATATATTTTGCCATTCTCACAACAAAAAGTAAGGTATGACATTTAGATTTCACACTGATGATGGGTTCTGTCTGATGTCAAAGTCCACGCCCAAGACAGCTGCTATCCAATATTATTTTCCTCTGTCTGAGAAGACAACAAACAATTGGGTTTCAAAGGCAATATTAACTGCTATAGAAAGATATGCCATGTACATGTCATAATTTATTTTTCCTATCCAAAGTCTCACCATATACTGAAAAAACAAAAAAAATCTAACCAAAATATCTTTTTTCCTACAAACCTAAATTTCAGATTTCTAGCATATTTGGATTTGATGTGATCATATTTAAACTACACTAGCTGGCTAAATATTTTAAACCGGAAGGAGGAGAATTCATAGTTTCAACTATTACTTAAAAATAACACTCAGAAATTTAAAAAAATCAGATTTTTTTTTCAGAATGCTTTGGGTCAGTCACTTTTAGCTAGTCACTTACAATATCAAAGAATACAGATGCCCAGTGTTTTTAACAAGTTAAAATGTATTAAATATTAGTTTGTTAATGTTATTTATTATTTCCTCAACAGGATTAGTTTTTAGGAGATTTTAAGTGATCTAAAATTGTATTATATAAAAAATTTGATCCAAAAATTAGTCTAAATATGATTCATTCATAAATTCCATGTGTCTTAAAAGTACTCAGTACTTGTATTTCTAACAAATTACCTGTTAAACAATAACAGAAACACATAAATAACATTTTTCTACTTTTAAATAAGGGGTTTCCCTGGTGGCTCAGTGGTAAAGTGCCTGCCTACCAAGAAGATAAATTACAACTCGGAAAATATCATTGCCTAGGTTAAGGTAGATGAGTACTACCAAATACAATATATGATGTCTCTCTCTCTATATATATATAGATGTATATGTATATGGGATAGTAGGTTTAAGAGTGCTGAGACAGACGATATGCTAAGTTACTTCAGTCATGTCTGACTCTTGGCAGCCCCATGGACTATATAGCTCACCAGGCTCCTCTGTCCATGGAATTTCCCAGGCAAGAATACTGGAGTGGTTGCCATTTCCTCCTCCAGGGGATCTTCCTGACCGAAGGATCAAACCGGTGTTTTTTTTGTTTTTTTTTTTTAACTTTATTTTATTAAATTATAGTTGATTTACAGTGTTGTGTTAGTTTCTGCTGTATAGCAAAGTGATTTTCTTTTACACATTCTTTTCCATTATGGTTTAGTACAGGATATTGAATATAGTTCCCTATGCTCTTCACGTTGTCTTTTACCCCACAAATACATTTTTTTCATTTATTTTTATTAGTTGGAGGCTAATTACTTTACAATATTGTAGTGGTTTTTGTCATACATTGACATGAATCAGTCATGGATTTACATGTATTCCCCATCCCTATCCCCCCTCCCCCCTCCCTCTCTACCCGATCCCTCTGGGTCTTCGCAGTGCACCAGGCCCGAGCACTTGTCTCATGCACCCGGTGATCTGTTTCACCACAGATAATATATCCGGTGTTTCTTACATCTCCTGTATTGGCACGCAGGTTCTTCACCACTAGTACCACTTGGGACAGTGTGTTCAAACATTTTATCATTATGAGACATGATGATACCTTAATCACCTCTAATTCAGTGAGTAAAGACCACAAACAACTCAAGTGCAATTATACTAGTTTGGAGAAACCACTATTTTCCTAGTTTCATCAAGTACATAAAACTAATTCTGAAAAAAGTTATGCAATATAGCATTGTCCAATACAAATTTTCAGTCATTTGAAAGGATCCTTTTGTTAACTTATTTCTAAAGAAAGCTACAAAATGAATCAAAGTACTTTGTAGTTAATATTGATAAAATTAATGACCAGGAGAACTGTATCATAATACAAGCTGAACAGTATTGAAGAAAAATTATAGTACCTTATGAAGCATATCTTCTACTGTTCTCATATGATTAGCAACACATTCTTTGTCTCTAGAAACAAAATAAAGATTAGGTATTAGTAAAACCCCAACCCTACGATAACTGTCATTCATTTTAGTGTTAAGTCACTGTTACTGAAAAATAAGAGTTGGTTTTCACTGTACTCCTTCTAAAACTGTCAAACCCAACCATATTCACTGGTATATTTTCATATTTAACTCTTATCTTCAGTGATATTGCCTGCCATAAATTAGAGGTGAGAAAAACCTTATGAATATCTTCAAAGTTAAAAAAAGAGTGAAAAAAGAAATCATGATTACATAATTGATATACAAGGTGTTGAAAAGGTTAAACTTGCATTCTTTTAGCTTCTAATGAAAAAGACTTTAGAAATATTAGTGGTGGATATAAATGGCCATAGTATGCACAATAATATTTTCCCTTTGACAGGTTTTTTGTACTATAATAATTACACAAAAACCCTTTATGGCCTTGACTAGAAATATGCACATTTACTATTCTCTTCTCTAGCCTTGTATATTGAACTTAGCTTTTATGATGAAATTAAAAGTTTAGATGGAAATGCTGAAAACAAAATTTTAATGGTGAATTACAAATTAAAAACTGTAAATAATGTATTAGCTCTCCAAATTTCAAATTAGCTTTTTTAGTGTTATTAAGAATATGTGCCCATGGTCACAGATCTCAGACACGACAAATTCCTGAACTACCAGTAGTATTGTGAAGATGCAATGTGAATCTAGAGGTTTTATAATCTTGTTTTCATTAATCTTAGAATTTTCAATGCTCTAAGACATACTAAAAATTACCTATGCTAAGATTCTCATTTGACATGAGAAAAACAACTGAAAAATGACAGCAAAAAACTGATTCAGTCAGACTTATATTTTTAAAAAATGACAATTACATATACCCAATATGGTAGCACAGTGTTATAGAGCTTTACAATTATTCAAATATGTACTGATTGGTATTCAAACATGCCAATATTGTGGTGCTGTGTAAACTCATTTTTTTCATTATGTGTGAGCAATATCCCAAGCCAACTGACAAAGCTGTGGATATTCTAGGATTGCAAACTGCTTGTTTTGTGATTTAGTTTATAGACTACATTCATATTTCATGCTATGCTTAAGAACAGAGTTTGTCTCCAAACATTTTTAAGTTGTATTTACATATTTGTAAATATATATACATATATACACACACACACACATGTGTATACCTGTGTGTTGCGTACCTGCAAGTACAAGAATCAAGAATTTCAAATTTAGAAACAGTGAGTGTATTAAAATGTTTCTTTAATCTATAAATAGATTTTCTTTAAGTCATGCAGTTTGTAAAAAGGGTTGTCTTAAAGTACTCCATGAACTTTGATGTGGGGAACAAATAAAAATACCCAAGAGAACTGTTCAATTTGAACTTCACAGTGTATGTCAACTTGATTACCCGGTAAAACGAAAAACACTCCTATCACATTTACATAGTTGCCCACTCTGAAAACTACCTATTTTTCTCTATTTAACATATTTGAATATACAGCCATAAAATTAAAAGAATTTTTCATGATCAGTATGCTTTTATTGCACTTAAAAATGCTATAATACACATGTTGATTATATACTATCATTTCTTTATGAAAATATGACTTGCAATACTAGAATATTATAATATATGCAGAAGCAAATTTGGAAGGCAATGGGACAGAAAGGGATGACAAATATATGATACGGAAACTATTCAAAACTTTAGAATAAAGTGTCTTATAGGTTAAGAGTCATATGTTAATGAAAATCTGGTTTTAAACAAGTTAACACTACAACAGAGCCTAAAATATACAACATCAGTGGTTATACAGAAACTTATTCTTTTCTAAGGTTTCTCAATAAAATATACATTTAGTATGTTGAGTTAAGAGTTCTCTCTTTTTGAGGATATATCAGAGAATTTCAAAGAGAGACAGCTGTACTTTTGTTTTCTAACACTGTATTATCCAGGGCTAAAACCCAGAGCATGAAAGTAAGAATTGATCTTTTGTCTGTTTTAAGTGATCTCCCCAAGGTCCAAATGCTCACTTGGCTGCCATGCGGAGGGCACTCTCTGCATCATGGATGTTCTCCTCCAGTCGACGCTTGTCCTGCTCCAGCTGGGTAAGATGTCTATTGAGCTGACGCAGAGATTGATCTTTTCTTCTCAGCTCCATCTTTGCCTCGGAGAGACTCTGCAAGCAGACAGAAAACAGAGTTACTTGTCAGCCCCGATAATTAACTTCAATTTATGCCATAGGCTATTAAACAAAGAAAGATACGGACTGACTGAGAAGTAGACTTGGGTCATTATACATCAAGGTTTAACAAATTTTTGGCAAAAATTTTACATACGTGCTAAACAGAAATGATAGAAGTGAGAAGGTTCAGAAAAATGTTTAGCTGCAAAATACAACTCTATTTTATTTTTTAAAATACTACAAGGCGAATACATTCTTTTCTTGGTAAAAAATATCTGATTATTAAAAACCTCAGGTTACATTTTCCTTTAATGACAAAAAATAAAGATCTCAATGGAAAACGCACATGAAATTTAGAATCTGTGCAAGAACTATCATATGGCCAAAGTGTGTGTGTGACTGAGAGAGAAGTGGATTAGGATACCAATAAGAGAATGGGGAACCCAAGATTTAAAACCATCACTGCTATCTTTATAAATGTATCTCTAACAGACTGCTATATACATCTTGGTGAAAGAACCAACTGGATTCCAAAATAAAATTTACTCATTTCCCATTAAAAAAAATCTCTCATGTCAGAGATAACATAAACCTGATCAACATTTCAACAGAGAGTATAAATAATACTTGCATTTGTTATTATAAAAACAGTCCATAAATATTTTCCTAGTCAGAGAAGTACAAAATTTGTTGATTGATGTTTGTTTTGCTATGTGCTTTAATCTGAAATATTCACTTAGGACAAGTTTCAGGATACAAGAGTACAACTTCATCTTGGAACTAAGGCTAAAGGTTTTAGAAACTTCTAAGTTAAAGGAGCATTTTCTTATTTTAAACTCCAGGATGTAAAACAATATAGGGATCAGAGGATCTCTTAGCACTGAAAATCTGCTCATTCCTCTGCCTAAGAAATTTCTAGAATATGAGCTTATCAACCAATTTTTCCATTAAGTTTGTTGGACACTGAGCTATATAATTGATTGTATACACATATTTTTGCTTTTTTCTAAGAGTTTAGCCACACATTAACATTCACAACCATGTTTCAAATACCCAGTAAAGAACAACCAAAATGCAGTACTTTCATGTTTAAAACTCTTCTAATAGTATTATTTTAATGCACTCACAATAAAATAAAAAACTCAAGCTGCCTGCATGGGGCTAAAACAATTAATTCACTCTATAAACACTGAATTGAAAGCAAAACCAATAAGGTATTTTTAAACGCTAAAAAAAAATTTTAATTCAGTATTTTACTTTTCAAACAGTCAAGCTGCATGCTGTCAGACAAATACAAGTCATAAACTAAAAATAAGCAAACTATGATTACTTTTTAGACATTATGTTTTATTTAAAATCTTTAGTAGTAACAGATCTTCAAGAATATCCCACTTTGGAAGTAGTCACTGATTCAAGCCAACTTTTTAAAAAGACAACAAAAAAGAAATTTGAAAAGCCGTGCTAAACCTACTTAGTCTGTGCCAATGTTAAGATATTTTAAGGCACTGAAGTATCATGAGATTTCTTTCTTTAAAAAAATAAAACCCACTTGAGTCCTTTTAAAGTTAATATTTCTGACATCTTTCAGGTAATAAAAAAAATGCTATTTTTCAGATGTGAAGATAAAATTAATGATCCACCACCAGTTACACATAAAGCTTGAGTTCTTTTTCCAACAGAAATAATAGAATGTGCCAATCCATTCAAATTCTCTTGCTCAGTAATTATTATGACTAGAGGTGCATATTTGTGAGGGACGTTCAGGATATTGATTCCAGTCTTGTCCAGAGTGAAGCTCACTGGTCCAATCTAAGGGAACCCATGACCTTAAAATCACTATAAAACCACACTTGACTTTTCAGCAATTCTATGATACCCTTCCAAAGAAGATATAACTCATGGAATTACAATCTCCACTGTATATCTAAATCTACCAGTTTCCATCAGCTTTCATCTCCTTCTCTCAGGTGCAAAGTCAGGAAGCCACCAAAGTCTCCTAAAGCCCGCACTATGTCAGAGGTACAGCTGAATAGTTTACTCGAAGACTAAACCTACAGACAACAAACAAAAAATGGCAGAAATAAAGTGGTATGAATCATACTTCCTTAGTGTAAAAATGAAGAGAGATAATGGTTTTTGAAAAAAGAATAATCGTTTATATAACTTATGGACACAGGAGTCTCATTTTAAAGAGCTGAGGAAGATCACAATGCAGTAATATGTCTTTTTACTGATATCCACGTTTTTGCCTTTGATGGAAAAAGTAGAATCCTTAAAAACCCTAACACTGAGCTTGTAAAAAAGAAAAACATATGTATATGTGTGTGTACATATATATATGACATACACATATGTATTTACACCATTTATAAAATATATTATAGATACATATAAAGTTTGAAGTTCAGCTTTTCTTTACTCCTGTTCAGATTTATCTAATTAAAACCCATGATAAACTTCACAGACTCTAATATTTCCAACCGAAGGACTCAAACCAAGGTGTGCCTCTGGGCAGCAAGGCAACAATGATAAGCAGCAGGTTAGCCACTAATTTCTCTACCGGGTAGATTGTGAAAGTGTGATGTTCTGATATCCAAGAAACTGTTCAGGAGAGAATAGGATAAATCAAGTTTAATAACTCTGCTCCTAATTGTTCCCCCAATGCTCAACTCTAATTACGTGGAGAACTCTCTTGACTGTCGCCTGATATTAAGTTGTTGGAGGCTGAGCCTGGAACAGCAAGATAATCAATAAACATTTAGTGGGGAGAAGAATGAAGATCCTGTTAAGCAGTGGGAACCTGCAGCACCCAAAGCCCTTCTGCTCATGAGAAAACCTATGGGACAACCATCGTGATTGCAAAGCAATAATCCAAAGCACTGTTTTTAGGCCTTGAGGCCTTTAGGCAACAGTACATTTGAGGAAAAGAGGTTAACACGGTCACCCTAATTACAGCCCACTTTCACATACTTCATATATAAGCGAAGACAAGCCAATTAGGTAGAAAGGAAGATAAGGGAAGTTTTATTTGTATACTAATTAAACCCCTGATGAAATTAAAGGAAAAACATACAGCTCTGTAATTGTGTCTGAGAAAGGTCACTTCAGGTTCAGTTATCAGAACAGCACAGCCTTGAGATATTTCACTTAATCCACAATACAGCCCTCATTTTGTACTCAGGTCTTAATATTTACCAAAAAAAAAAAAAAAGAAAAATTCAAAGCCTGATACTGCATTTATCTTTAAACTGCGTTGTGAACAATTTTAGCTATTAGAAAGTTAATGCTAAATATAACAAAAGTTTAAAAGGAAAAATATCACCTAGACAAGAACCAATGCCAGAATATTATTTATCAAACATTCTGAGTTTTCACTTTAAACCCAAGGTGTTTTAAAGCAACTATTTACAACAGAATCCCAAGCTGACTGTATTTCAAAAGCTATTATGCAAGATATTTATTGTATTTAAGATAATGATGTCATTGCTCACGTATACCTCTCATAGTCCAGAGGGAAAAGCCAATGCTTTCACTAAACTACTATTATAAGATATTTTTATATCTAGCTATTTTCCTAAGATGGTGATGAAAAGCAATGTGTCACTAATGAAAGATGGCAGGGTAAGTATGGATACCAACAAAGTAGTTAAGTACAGAGAAAGCTTAGGGGCAGAATATAGGAGAGATGTGAATATTAAAATACCAACATGTTTTTTAAAAGTCTGTTTTCTTATCTACAGTTTCTGAAGTTTCTATAATCAAAGTGTTACCACTAAATAAGAATACAAATCATTTTCTTAAGTCATACATAATTTCATACTTACTTCTAAAGTTCTAAACATTTATTACACTTAACAATTTTTAAAAAATCAATTGTGAATATAAATTGAAATTCTATTACTTTGCACCTATGAAAACATTTTATACAGTGGAATGTTTAATAACATCTTTATTGAGATATAATTCACAAGCCACATAATTCACACTTTTAAAGTGCAAAATTAAGTGGGTTTTATTATATTAACAAAGTTGTGCAACCATCACCAATGGAGGTCTTTTTTGAAGAGAAGTTCTTTAAAAAAAAAAAAAAACAACTTATCAAAACAATAGGGCAACCTAAATATAGTATATCTCATTACCTCACAGCTAGTTCTAATTTTAAATGACACAAGATATAGAGTTTAAATTTTGTCCATTAACAGTTTCAAAAGTATAACATTTATAACACAAATTCCCTGAATTAGAATACTTGATTAATAAATGTGGTATTTAGTACAAAAGTTAGTTACCTGAAAGAATGTACAAAAATCTCCAACTATTATTCCTGGATGTTAAGGGAATCATCTAACATAGCTCTTTCTCATAAGTACACTACTGTACTGCCTTAGACCATTACGCCAGCTATGAAGACCAAGCCCCAGGAGATTTCACTTTCATAGATTTTCTTTTGTCTAATGGGAAATATCTATGGATCCACATTTCTACAGACTAAAAGCTAATGGCTTTTTCAATTTGGTAGAAAAGTTAGTCATACAAAATGTAAGACCAGACAACAACACAAGTGTTAAAAAGAACAAAGCTACATTTACTAGGTAAAGAAAAGAACATCTGTAACATTTTTTTCTAAAATTGTACTACTGTCCCACTGTAATTTTGGAATAAACATTCCTAGATTTGTGATGAGTTAGGTAAAACATCTCAAGGCATTAAAACTCATGTTGGAAAAAGAAACAGCACCGTCTTCTGCCCTACCATTATAATATGACCACAAGAAAATCATATTAATCAAGAATTAGTTAGCTGTTGGGTGGGTCAAACTATGCAGACTGCCACAAAAAGTATAAATTTAAAATGATACAACCACCAGATTTATAATTGGGTACACAAGTTAGGGATGAAACTAAAGAATGACATATTTTATAATAAAGCTTGAAAATCTGTGAGATAAGCAACTAGGGAATTTACAATAAGTATGTAATAGTAAAGATGTTGGT